TAATGTCTTCAGGGGCAATAACACACATAGAACTGTCATCTTTCATGTTACAATGCCCTCTGCAATACCTCGCTGAAGACCTGCCTAATGTGGATTTACAATTTAACTTATTTTTTTTATATTAAGGTAGAAATGGGAGCTAACACTCTAAATAATCAATAAAAAGTATAGTATGGTATAGTAGAATCAATTAAACCAGTAATATAGTTGTTTATTATCAAGGTGATTATGCTACGTATACATAAAAAATGTGGCTATACCTTTAGTACAACTGCCAGCATAGTTAAGTTTGGTTTAACACCAGTATCACACAAACGTGTGAATAATTAATTTATGCACAATGGTTGTGCCAATAGCCATGATGTCACTTTAAGCAATAGGAATTTTTCAAGCCTCCATTAAATCTCATGGCGGCCGGGTAGTAGCCTCACGCCAGTTAATTCCTAGCTCTCTGGGAGGGCAGAGGGCTGCTGGTCTGTTGAGCTCAGGAGTTCGAAACCAGCCTGAACAAGAACGAGAACCTCTCTCTACTATAAATAGAAAGAAAATTAATTGGCCCACTATTATTATAGAAAAACTTACGCCGGCGGATGGTTGGCGCATGGCCTGCTTAGTCCAGCCTACTCGGGGAGGGGCTGAGGCAGAGTTGATCGCATTGAGCCCAGGAGTTTTGAGGTTGCTGTGAGCTAGGGGCTGACGCCTGCCACTCACTCTTAACCTGGGGCAACAAAGGGAAGACTCTGGCTCTCAAAAAAAAAAAAAAAAATCTCATGGTACCACCATCTATATGCCATTCTTGTGTTACTGTTATGTGAATACGATGACTGTATTTTATGTGATTTATCAAACCTAGGGAGAATTTGTGTTCGGGTCTTGGGTACTCACATTTTAAGGAATAACATGAAAGGAATAGGAGTATGGGGTTCAAAGACAGCCAACTCAAATGATAAGGAGACAACTAGGAACCCTGTAATATAAGGAATGACTGAACAAACGAAGAGGTACCCACATCTCGAAAGGAAGAGACAGTCCCAGGGAGGAAATGAATAAATTATCTTGAAATAGTCTGAAGAGCTAGCATGCATATGGGCGGCAGAGCACATTTACTTAGCCCCAGTAGGTATAGTAACTTAGACCAATTTCTATTCCTTCTTGGCTTTGAAATTGATTGAAATTAGTCGCGTTACAAAAAGATTTGGTGGCTACTATTCAACTTCTCCCGAATAAAAGGAATTAACTAGAGCCATTGCATGGGCTTTTGTGCTCCATTATTATTATTTTTTTTTTTTGAGACAGAGTCTCGCTTTGTTGCCCAGGCTGGAGTGAGTGCCATGGCGTCAGCCTAGCTCACAGCAACCTCAAACTCTGGGCTCTAGCAATCCTGATGCCTCAGCCTCCCGAGTAGCTGGGACTACAGGCATGCACCACCATACCTGGCTAATTTTTTGTATATATATTAGTTGGCCAATTAATTTCTTTCTATTTATAGTTTTAGAGATGGGGTCTTGCTCTTGCTCAAGGCTGGGTTTCGAATTCCTGACTTCAAGCAACACCTACCTTGGCCTCCAGAGTGCTAGATTACAGGCGTGAGCCACTGCGCCTGGCCTATGCTCCATTTTTACAAAACTTGACTAAAAAGGTTAAGTGTACAGAAGAGAAAACTCAAATGGCCAATAAATCTATGATATATACCAACTTCATAGTTATCAGGTAAATGTAATCATGACAATACCAAGTAAGATGATAACTGGGCGAGGGGTATATGGGAACTCTCTGTACTATCTTTGCAACTTGCTGTAAATAAAAATTATTTCAAAGTAAAATGTTAATTAAAAATAAAACACCCTGTAGACTTGCAAAATTTTAAAAGTCTGATAATAGCAAATATTAGCAAGGATACAAGGAAAAAAGAAAGAGAAAAAGGAGTCAAATTTTTAAAACTAATTTGGACATCAATTTGGCAATATCGTATAAAGTTAAAAATGCTCATAGGTTTTGACCTATCAGTTCCATTTAGGGTATAGTCCCCAATGTATATCCTAGAACTGCATTATCCAATCAGTAGGCCACTAGTCACATGTGACTATTGAGCACTTGAAATGTGGTGGTCCAAAATGAGATGTGCTTTAAGTATAAAATATGCACCAGACTTCCAAGACTTTGTATCAAAAATAGATTGTAAAATATCTCCTTAATAATGTTTATATTGATTACATGTTGAAAATGATAATATTGTAGGTAATACTGAATTAAATATTCTTATCGTTAAAATCAATTTAATCTGTCTAACCTTCTATAATGGTGGCTAGAAAATATAAAATTATTTTTGTTCATTGCACTGTATTTCAATTGGACAACACTAACATAGAGCCTCACTCACCAGTAGCTCAAGAAATAAATCAATTTTGTAGGTCACACTCGAGGATTTTTTTTTTCAGTTAGACCTATGGCTGAATCCGGCATTTTTTAAATAACAGCATTGTCTGAATTCTTTTAATGAAAAAGGAATAGAAGAGAAAATATCATAATGTACTGTATATAATAAGGGCAAAAATAAAACTTTTGATACAGTATGTATGTAGTAGGATGGGAATACAAAAATATGTTTTTGCCATAGATGATGATCAAAAATGTTTGAAGTTCCTGCTAAACTCTCAGAAACACAATGTCCATTGTCGTTTGTAATAGCAAATATTTGAAACAACTTGTATGTCCAATAAGGAGATTGAAATAAATAGACTGTGATATATTTACCTTCATATAATACACTAGTCTGCAGTAGAAATGAGATGAACTAGAATTAAAATATTCATATGGGTAAAAATCTAAAACATAATGCTTAGGGAAAAAAGACAAGTTGCTTTTTAAAAAATCACATAAAATGATACAGGCTGGGTGTAATGGCTCACTCCTGTAATGCCAGCACTCTGGGAGGCCGAGGCAGGTGGATCACTCAAGGTCAGGAGTTTAAAACCAGCCTAAGAGTGAGATCCCATCTCCACTATAAATAAAAGAAAGTAATTGGACAAACTAAAAATATATTAAAAAAATAATCAGGCATGTGGCACATGCTGTGGTCCCAGCTACTCAGGAGGCTGAGGCAGGAGGATTGCTTGAGCCCAGGAGTTTGATGTTGCTGTGAGCTAGGCTGATGCCACAGCACTCTAGCCCAGGCAACAGAGTGAGACTCTGTCTCAAAAAAAAAAAAAAAAAAAAAAAAAGATACAATTTTTGGAAAGTTTAAAAAGATGAAAAATGATACATTTTAGTTCTTTTTTTTTCTTTTTATTGAGACAGGGTCTCACTCTGTCACCCAGGATGGGTACAGTGGCCTCATCACAGCTCACTGGCGACTCAAACTCCTGGGTTCAAGTGATCCTACTGCCTCAGGCCTCCCAAGTAGCTAGGAAATATGGATGCATGCCACCATGCTGGCTAATGTTTGTATTTTTTTGTGTGCAGGGTCTCACTATGTTGCACAGGCTGGTGTTGAAGTCCATACCTCAAGCAATCCTCCCACCTCCACCTCCCAAAGTGCTAAAACTACAGGCATGAGCCACCATGTCCAACCAATTTTTTAGTTCTTTGAAACAATGAAATATCTGAAGCATGTGACAAACTGTTAAGATTTGACAAAACTCACTGGTATACACAGATGTTCATTATATTATTTTGTATACATTTCGTGTTGATTCAAATATTTATGTGATACAAGGTGTCAAATCCTATACACTAAAAATCACAATCCCTATTCCATGTTTATACCTTTAAGATATTATATTCTAAATTAAAACTTAAGGTAAGTGGTAGTGGGCTTTATTGTGTTGCTTTAAAATGACAAGCCTTAACAAAATATTGATGTAAACTTTTTAAAATCATACATTTGTATCCACCTTGGTTACAATGTATTTCATTATTATATGAATGTGAATTACCACGGGTCTAATCATTTACCCCAGAAACAAACCAAGTACCTTAAACTGGCCTATATCTGGCACGGTTGAGGAATCTGGTGTTCTGGTCATTCAAATTGCTTTAGTTTATTTAAAGTTCCCATAAATATCACAGATGGATTACTAACTTTCAAAATATTGAGAAATACTAAAATGCACTTAAACCTAAAACTACACAGGATATAATTTATTTCACTGATGATTATGTTAAGGCACTTCAGGATCTTGCAGTAATTGTTTTAACTTACCTTCTTTCTTTCTTCTTTTCTTTCTTTCTTTCTTCTTTCTTTCTCTTTCTTTCTTTTTCTTTTTTTTTTTTTGAGACGGAGTGTCACTGTGTTGCCCAGGCTAGAGTGAGTGCCGTGGCGTCAGCCTAGCTCACAGCAACCTCAAACTCCTGGCTCAAGTGATCCTCCTGCCTCAGCCTCCCGAGTAGCTGGGACTACAGGCATGCGCCACCATGCCCGGCTAATTTTATATATATATCAGTTGCCAATTAATTTCTTTCTATTTATAGTAGAGACGGGGTCTCGCTCTTGCTCAGGCTGGTTTCGAACTCCTGACCTCGAGCAACCCTCCCGCCTCGGCCTCCC